CCTCTGGGTTGGCCTGGGCCCAGAGATGAGGCCGGCAGTGCAGGGGTCTAGTGTTTTCAGCTGTCTTCCCAGCCCTGCTCCAGAGCCGCTATGTAACCTGCTGCCCTGCAGTGCCCGTCACAGAGCGGTGTCTGTTGAATGCGTGAGTCAAGCAAAACATCAAACGGAGTCCTTGACATGGGAAAAACATGCTCCCAGCCACCACCAGCTGGACACTGACATCCAGCGGTTTTCCCACTGGGCAGTGGCTTGTGAAGATGGGGACAGAGTGTCATAAATCATCTCCTTTGTGGACTGCAGGGATGATCCTGGCCTTCTTGTCACAGGCTAAACAGACTAAGTAGCCAGAAAAAAAAAAAAAGAACAAAAAAAGAGGCTTAAAGGCGCTTGGCTGTCAACATTATAACGAGGGTTTGTTAGAAGTATTTTTTTTTAAAAAGTGGTTCAGTTATGCAGTAGGATATAATATTCTATAATAAACTTGTTACCAAACTTTTAGCCTTAACCCAGATGCTGTTTTCCTCTTGTCTATTGGATAGGGATATGGAATGTTCTTTCTTTCCCTAAGTTTAGTCATGTGCATTGTTTTTTTTCCTATTTATATTGTGGGTTTGTTTTTTTTTTTGAGATGGAATCTTGCTCTGTAGCCCAGGCTGGAGTGCAGTGGTGTAATCTCGGCTCACTGCAACCTGCGCCTCCCGGGTTCAGGCGATTCTCTTGTCTCACTCTCCCAAGTATCTGGGATTACAGGCAGGCACCACTATGTCCGGGTAATTTTCAGATTTTTAGTAGAGACGGGGTTCCACCATGTTGGCCAGGCTGGTCTTGAACTCCTGACCTCAAGTGATCCACCCACCTCGGCCTCCCAGAGTGCTGGGATTACAGGTGCGAGCCACCGTGCCCGGCCTATGTGGTGGATTGTATGTAGATGTTCCAGTGGCTTTTAGGAAAGTCTTTTATGATTTCACACATCTGTCCACAGTCATGTCTGCAGAGCAGACTCTCCACACTCCCTCTGCAGAGAGCTGTAGAATATTCTGTTTCACAGGTATTTGCTTCCTACATGAGTAAAATCAGGTTTAAGTGAATAAAAATTGTACATCTCTTCCCGTGTACCAGGGAAGTATTTGTGGTGCCTGCAAAGACCAAGCACAGTTCACGCCTCTGCTGTGGCCTTCACAGCGCTGCAGCCAGCCAGTACGGAAGCCCTGCTCCCTGCTGCCCACAAGCAGGAGGCAGGTGGGAAGGGGGATGCGTGCCACCTTGCAGACGGGCAGGCAGGCTCATGGGCAGAGTTGTACACAAGGCAGGTGATGAGGAAGACAGCTGTAGAGTATGAATGATCAGCTGCTGAAAAACATCCAGTGCTCAATGTGGATACTTAAGAGTTATTCTCATAAAAAATGTGAGGCAGTTAGTCAGGTATGGTGATGCACGCCTGTGGTCCCAGCTACTCAGGAGGCTGAGGCAGGAGGATTGCTTGAGCCCAGTGGTTTGTGGCTTCAGTGAGCCATTATTGTGCCACTGCAATCCAGCCTGGCTGACAGAGCGAGACCGTGTCTCCAAGAAAAAAAAAAAGATTTCTATAAGTACTTGCTGGGTTACACTAAATGAACCTAGAAACAAATAGATAAATAATGAAGGTTACACAGAGCAGAAGCTTTGTTAACAGATTAACTTACATTAATAGTTGCTGCTGGGAAAACAAGCTGCTTGGTGACTTCCCTAAAGGGTGTCCCACGCGTCTGGCAAATGAACAGACACAGCTCCTGCTCCCGAACATCCTGGGAGGCACGTGGGCATGCTGTGTGGGTGGTCTGGGTGCTGCAGCCTGAGCTGTCACGGGTGTGGGGTGTCAGTGCATGCAGACCCACACTGCCTCCTCCTTCAGGGCTCACTGGCGGTTTTCTTTGCACTGCTTCACTTTCCTACTTGAAGTCAGGTTTGAAAAGGAGAAGAATCGCACATTCCTCCTCAGTTTCTTAGAAACTTACCTTTGTGCCTGAGTCATTTCTAGTCCCTTTGGACCTGAGTCATATCTGTTCACTGCTTTGTCAACCTTGTGCCCAGTTTAAGCTTTGGCAGTTGCTCCTTGTATGTGTGTTTTCAGGGTGTGGAGTGTTTTCTTTAGAAACGTCATTGCAGAAGAGGAAAGTCACGTAGCTACACAAGACGTGGAAAACAGATTTAGTGCCTGAAATTTCTAGGAAAACTGGCAGTGCTGACAGCACTCATGGTCACGCCCTAAGTGGAATCATCATCTGTGCGTCACCTGCATGCTGCTGTGGTCAGGAGACAGGCTCCCCACCCTCTGCGCCACCTGCCATTGTGGCTTCTACCCACCATTTGTTCCTCCTAGACCTGTTTGGGGAGCACCAGTTCCTGAGCAGGGGCTCTGGCTGGTGGGCCCGTTCATCACCTGACCCCGAAGCATGTGGACAACTGATAGTGGAGAGGCAGTTCCTGAAAGGAGCGCGGCATGCAGTGTAGACGAAGAACCAGAAGCCTGGGTTCATCACATCTCATCTGCCTTACCTGGCCAGGCTGAGAGCTCCGGGGGCAGACTGAGCCTGCCGGGCTCTCCAGGAACAGCTGAGGATTGCTTGGGTGTCTTGCTCAGTGCCCCTGGCTTGACCTGACCTGGTCTTCCTGGCTCAGAAGCCCCTACTCATTTGTGGGTTTCTCTAGGGGGCCAGGGAGGAGGTGGCACAGCCTGAGATGATGCATGTGCACTTGTCATATCCCAGGGGTGTATTTCTAGATAATTTATCAGCAAAATGGAGGGGCTGGATGACTCTGCATCCCATGCATGAACTTCATAACCGAGCAATGGAAGGATGGTCCCAGAGTGGATGGGGACCAGGTCACAGTGTGTACGGCAGCTCCTGTGCATAGAAAAGTGACATAGGGCTAGGCACGGTGGCTCACACCTGCAATCCCAGCACTTTGGGAGGCTGAGGTGGGCGTATCACGAGATCAGGAGTTCAAGACCAGCCTGGCCAACATGGTGAAGCCCTGTCTCCACTAAAGATACAAAAAATTAGTCAGGTGTGGTGCACGCCTGTAATCCCAGCTACTCGTGAGGCTGAGGCAGGAGAATCGCTTGAACCCAGGAGGCGGAGGTTGCAGTGAGACGGAGTCTCGCTCTCCCAGGCTGGACTGCAGTAGTGTGATCTCAGCTCACTGCAACCTCCGCCTCCCGGGTTCAAGCAATTCTCCTCTCTCAGTCTCAAGTAGCTGGGATTACAGGTGCACGCCACCACACCCAGCTAATTTTTGTGTTTTTAGTAGAGACGGGGTTTCACCAAGCTGGCCAGGCTGGTCTCCCAACTCCTGACCTCAGGTGATCTGCCCGTCTTGGCCTCCCACAGTGCTGGGATTACAGACGGGAGCCACCGTGCCCGGCTTGCTTTTCAGTCATTTTTTTTTCTTATTCTCTGCAGGTCTCCTTTTTCTCTAGTGCATGTGTGAACCTGGCACAGGAATCCGATAGAAAACCTCTCAGCAAGGCCACATAATCATGCACAGAACAGATGTTTGCTCAGTGCCTGCCCAAGGCCCCACCCTTAGTGAACTTGGGACGGTCCAAACGTGTGCAGAGCACTGCCCTGAATGCTTTAGGTCTGGTCTTTTCTTTGATCCTGAGAATGCCTTTGGAAGGTGTAAGCAGTGGCCAGCTCCACAGGGACCAGCCTGCAGAAGGTAGACTGCGAGCACACCTGACCGCAGGCACCTTCCCTGTGTGTGTGGGCCTGCGTGTCGGTGGGGTGCAGGAGAAAGGGCGACAGTCCATGGGGCGAGAGTGCCTTCCCTTGTTTTTGGCCTGAGCAGGGGGTGCTGGGAGGTACCATTTGTGGAGGTAGAGGCAAGTAGAGAAAACCAGGAGTTCCCTTCTGTGCAGGTGAATCTTGAGAGGACATTGTCTCGGTCAGGTTCCTAGCAGGACAGATGTACACTCAAGTGAGGATTGTAGGCGGCCTTGTTTGCAGAGGGACTCATTACGAAGGGGGGGCCAGCCCAGGGCCTGCTGCAGAGTGCAGGAGCATGCAGCCCATGTCCCTGTAGCAGGAGTGTGTCAAGGAGGCCACATGGAGGAGTGGAGCCTGCACAGGGCACATGGGGCAGGGGTGGGCAGGGAGTGTCCCAGCCTCTCTCCTTCCTGCATCCCCACCCTTGCTTGCTCCCAGAGGGAAGCTGGATTTGTGACTGGCCAATATAGCAAGACCCCATCTCTACAAAAATAAAAATATTAGCTGACTGTGTTGGTATGCGTCTGTAGTCCCAGCTGCTTGGGAGAACAAAGCAGGAGGGTTGCTTGAATCCAGGAGTTGGAGGCTGCACGAGCTATGATGATACCACTGCACTCCAGCCTGGGCAACAGATCAAGACCCTCTCTCTTAAGAGACAACAAAAAAACCAGAGAAGTCAGAGAGCAGGGCAGGAAGGGCACCTTTGGGAAATGACCCAGCTGCGGGGGGCTCTGTTCGTCACCTGTGTCTGCAGTTCAGGTGAGCCAGGCTGGGTGCAGACGTGGGAGGTCTCAGCTGCAAGTGACATTTAACCCCTCAGTGCCCAGGTATCAGCACCGACTGGGAGAATCAAAGTCAGAGTCCTGGGCCACCTTGCTTGGTCATCTCTCATCAGCCCCCTCCCCTCCAGACTGAAGTTAAAGCCGAGTTTAGTTTTGCTTCCGAAGATTTGTTTTCCAGTGTTCTTCGCGCTGGCGTTTCTCTGCCTGGCCTGCTGGAATCCCTGGTGCTCTTTCCGAACGCCGGCACTGAGGTGCCACTCTGTGTTCTAAACCCTGCTGAGTAGGTTGGCTGGCAGGCAGGTCAAAAAGCACATGGTTGTTTAAAGACTCTTCCTCTGTTTGACCCAGAGAAACCATAATGACATCCGTTTGCTATGCCACCTTTTTCTTGAACGGAACTGGAAGTAATTTGAGGCACGTTGTTCTGTGTCCTTGGTGCATTTTCTCAGGCTAGGTTCCTCCACTGCAGGTTCATTGCCGAAGAGGCCGCGGCTTCTGGGGCCAAGTGTGTGCTCACCCACAACCCGACCTGGATCATCGACCCCATCGACGGTACCTGCAATTTTGTGCACAGGTGAGCTGGGCAGGGATCGTCTCCGTTGCAGGGCTTAACACGTCCTCGTCCGTGAGATTTTGTCTTTTCATAAGCAGCATTTTTTTAAGGCAGGAATATATAAACAAACCTATAGTAGGCTCATAGTCTCGTTAGAAAGATGTTCAGATCTTGATATTTTTAAAATAAGATTTTCCATTTGTGAGAGGCTCTTGGAGGATGTAAGGAAATCTGCACTTGTTTAAAAACCAGTTTGTTACGTTAAAAATGTTGCGTTGCATTTAACAAGGACCCCTTCGAGAAGTCTGACTCCCCTCACACCCCACCCCCACTGGAGAAAAAGGTGAGGTTGGGATACAAAGCCTGTGCTGCCCCACAGTGGCCGGAGCCCGAGGTGTAGAGAGTGGCCTGTGACGGGTGAGATTTGAGAGCTATCTTCCTGTATGACAGCAAACCTCGTGGTTACAAAAAGCAGGAGGTTTGGGGAGGTCAAGGGGGGCCCGTGTGGGGAGGTGAAGGGAATGGAGCTTCGGGGATGGTGTAGTGACAGCGATGTGAAGGTGACAGGGACACGACCACAGGCGTTCTCTAACAGGGGTGGGTGATGGTGCTGCACTGCCTGTCTACACGCACAGGTGGCTGGGGACCTGGGGCACAGAGCACAATGTGGCTTTCACAGAGGGTAGTTCTCCGGCTCTGGAGAACCCTGGAGAGATTCCCGTTCCATGGGCGGGTGGCTCGCGCTCCGGCGCTCACAGTGCACGCCTGCACACTGGGCTGCACGCGCTAAGCAGGAAGGGTGAGCGGAGCCCGGTGTGGGCTCCTTTATGATCTGCCTCTGATGGCACGTTTATATGTAAAAATGAAGTTACTCCATGCTCAGCACGGCCTTTTTCTAGGTGAGCTGCCTCGAGAATTCAGTTGTGGCCGGGCGCGGTGGCTCAAGCCTGTAATCCCAGCACTTTGGGAGGCCGAGACGGGCGGATCACGAGGTCAGGAGATCGAGACCATCCTGGCTAACACGGTGAAACCCCGTCTCTACTAAAAATACAAAAAAACTAGCCGGGCGAGGTGGCGGGCGCCTGTAGTCCCAGCTACTCGGGAGGCTGAGGCAGGAGAATGGTGTAAACCCGGGAGGCGGAGCTTGCAGTGAGCTGAGATCCGGCCACTGCACTCCAGCCTGGGCGACTGAGCGAGACTCCATCTCAAAAAAAAAAAAAAAAAAAAATTCAGTTGTGCCTACACAAGGTGACCCTTTTGAGGCAGTGGAGTCGTGCCATCTGGTGCCAGCAAATGTGTCATCAGTCTCTCCTCTCATTTCAACGAAAGCAGGATCCTTCCCCGGGCTCTCCTCCCCAGAGTACGTCACTGAGTGGAGCCCCATTGCTTCTGCCTGCTTGTGGTTCCAGGGTGCTCATAATGGTGACATGGCAGGTGAAGCCCTGTCACATGGTGAAGGCCACACGTTATCCAAGGGTCTTCAGTGGCTCCAGAGACACAGTTTCCAGTGCTTTCCTGTCTGTGCCCCTGGAGGGATCCTGGGACTGGGGAGGTGACTGGGAAAAGAGTAGCAATTTCAGAACAGACTGCAGAGCTGATTCTGACAGTTCCTGAACCCCACGCTACAGCCGTGGTGGTCATTGTGGTCTGAAGACATCCGAAAGCCACCAGCAGCTGCCACTCAGATGGCGCCTGTTCACCCCTGTGCCCACCAGTGCTGGGCCACAGCAGTGGGAGAAAGCTCTCCTGGGCACGGGAACAAGTGTGAGGCCTGGCACATGGTGCATCCGCCCTGGAAGCCAGCGGCTCACCCCAGGGTCCCGCACACCCCGGCAGTCAGAGTTGCGTTTGTGTACAGTTGGTTTTGCATTTTTCCTGTCAGTTTGCAGTACCCAGCCTTTCCTGCCTGTTTTTAAGCTCCAATGGTCTGCCTGTAAAGGAAGGATTATTTGAAGATATTGAGCAGCAATAGCCGAATCACCAAACTGCAGGCAAACTGATCATGAAAGCTGTCTGCAGCCATGGCTGTCCCTGCAGCTGGCTACTGGGCACTCAGGCAGGCACAGGGAGGCTAGCAGTGCCGCACGGTGGGCTGTGGCTCAGAGCTGGCCCCCGTGGGGACGCTGTGGTGCCTTCCGGGACCACCTGCCTGGCACCCCACCTGGAACCGGATCTGGCCTTTGGGGAGGGCTCTGCTGTCCCTTTAGGTCCGGAGAACCAGAAAACAGAGGATTGAGATCCTTTCTAGTTGGGCATCAGAGGGTGTTGAGTTAAGTCAGTCTTATGTGACTTTCACAGTGCTGTTTGCTTTCAAGGTTAACTGTCTTACAACATGGTCAGTTTATTCTGTTTGTCTTGGAAGCAGTTAGTGGAACTGTGGGAAGTAGTTTTTAAACAACCAACCCCCCCAGAGCGTAGGAAGGTCCTTCAGAGCCTGTGGGGACGGCACGGCACACAGGTTCCCGAGAGCTGCGCTCTTGTTCCAGAGAATAAACCCTTCTGTTTTCCTTTGCAGATTCCCGACTGTGGCGGTTAGCATTGGATTTGCTGTTCGACAAGAGGTGCGGGTGTGGCCTGGGTCCCCAGGGCCTCTCCCTGGGCTCCCTCTGGCCATCCTTCCTTTCTGGCTTCAGCCTCTGTGCGCCTGGTTTGCTGTTTGCCCTGTGCCTTAATCATGACTGGCAAATCCAAGCCTGTGGGTTTCAAATCCGAGAAAAATAAACAAGTCCAGAGTGGCTTTGGGGTGTGCAGGGTGGGGCTCTGTGGCTGGCCCTTGTCCCCTGTGGAGGGCTGGCCCCGTGGTACCCGGGTCTATTTGTGACACTGCTGTGGAAACGGAAGTCCTAAGTGAGCGGTCCAAGTGCATCTCCAGCTGACCCTAGAGCGTGTGATCTCACAAACTAAAAGGAGCACTTATTTTTGGAAAGCATCCTAATCTCAATATTCTAATAATTCTTTCTTATCTTCCTCTGGTTATTAGCATGAGAACGTGGCTCTCTCATGGTTCCCATAGGCCTTCTGAACCACACAGTGTTGTGGGACCTGCATGGAAGGCGTGGGGCTGAGGTTTTAACCCTATTAAGTAATTCAAGCAGCAGCACTGAGAAGAGCCTTAATTTCTAAGTAATTGAAACAGTTTTATTTAAATAGGACTGAGTGCTCTGTGTCTCCCAAAGCAGCCCTGCTTCAGAGCAGCATTTGTGCAGCTTCACCTTAGTCTCAGTGCAGACTCCCTGGCAGGGGAGCTGAGAGAAGTACTTAAGTTGAAGTATTTAAAGTTAAGTACTAAAGTATCTCAAAGTACTTAAGCTGAAGATAAGAATTGTAATACTGTAATTTGTCTAAGGATGCGATGATTGACTTCTCTCTGTTAAATCGTATTGTGGTGCCCAGCGTGGGCGGGAGGCTGAGCAGTACTTCAGGGGTTGATTGATGCTCTGTGACTGTGTGAAGGGGCTGCTGGAACAGCTGGCTAGGTCCTCCGCCCTTCTCTGGGTCGACTAGGGTCTGTCCTATGTTCCTAGACTGAATACGGGAGCTCCTGGCTTATGGTGGTGGGCTGGGGCTGGGACATTCCTCTGCAGTCTGGGAGCCCTTCACAGGCCTCAGGAACCAGCTGAATTCTAGGACTGACCTGGTCGTGAGGATTTCTTTAAAGCCAGGGTACTGGACAGGGAAGGATGACGAAATGCTGCCAGACAGCTGCAGGCTCTGAGTAGCATGGACCGAATGACACCCCCAACCCCCAGAAATAAACCCTTTCTCTGTAGCTTGGGGTGTCCACTCCAGGGTGCTTGTGCTCACCCCAGGGCTGGCCAAGGCTTTCCTAAGGCATTTGGCCGGGGTGTTTTTTAAAATTTTCCAGAGAGGTGAAAACTTGGCTAACTTGCTAAACAAGCACACTGGCCCTTGTTCACCCTGAGTGGTGAAAAGTCGGAAGAGGAAAGGTCACAGAGGCGTGTGGCCGTGGGCCCCCGTCCTTTTCCACGCTGACCTCTTCCTTTTGCTGCTTCATCCTGGGAGGCTGTGGTCTGACGCGTTGTCCCCCGATGTGGGGCAGTGGGGCCGCTGTTCAGTGCACTGCCTGCTCACGGATCAGTCCCCAGTCTGCAGCGCTACCTCTTCCTCGCTGGGGCTGTCCTTGGGCTTCTGAGATCCTGCTGGCTTTACAGATGCATTCTCTCCTCACCCATCAGCAGTTCTGAGGACTTCTTATGGGGTTTGGTTAGAGTCACAAGTAACCTTCTTTTTTTCCAGCAACAAAAGGGGCCTTTCTAAAAAATTAAGCTTTTTCAATAACTTCTGGTTACTAATGCTCGTTTCGATGTTAGTTTTTAAAGCTTTATTAGTCCGAATATGTTTTAAAATGTAGTTGTTTAGCAAAAGCAAGCTTGCTTTTATGTCCAGGTCTCATTTTAAATGCAGGCACTGCTTTTTCTCAGTTGCTTTTGGAAAGGTAATTTCTGTCACAGTGTCATGTGTTATCCTAACACCTAGGGCAGCCTTCATCTTTGAATGACGATGTTTTTCTTCCACATCAAATGAGTGAACCGTCTTTGTTTTCTGTCCTGCCTCTGCCGCCCACAGCTGGAATTCGGAGTGATTTACCACTGCACGGAGGAGCGGTTGTACACGGGCCGGCGGGGCCGGGGCGCCTTCTGCAACGGCCAGCGGCTCCGGGTCTCCGGGGAGACAGGTGGGCTTCACGAGGCTTGTCTCAGGTTATTTCTGAAAGAGAGGTGTGAAAGGAGAATGCCACAGCCACCGTGGTGTGGGACGGGGGTGGAGGTCCCTTGCTGATGGTGTCGTCTCTGTTTAGGGACATCGTGTCCCTGATGAACTGGAAATGGAGCCAGTTCTGTATCTTAGTGTTTTTGCTCACGTGGCCGGAGCTTTAAATAGCCTCATTCTGCTTTGCACTCACATCCCTCATCTTTCAGGCTAAAAGCACTCCAGTCGCAGTCAAGATTTGGTCGTAGTGGGATTGGGTGAGCAGCCTTAGGCCAGGTGCAGTCAGAGCACGCTTGTTCCCCTCAGAGCGCCCTGGCATACCTTGGTGGTCCCGATTTTGCCCAGGCCCTGCTGCCCAGGTGCAGTTGGTGGCCCCTGAGTGTGCACAACAGTAACTGGCTTCAGCTTCTGCAAGAAGAACCATCCTCAGGAATAAATCATGTAAAGAGGCACCTTAGCTCCACTCTGCAGTTACGGCCTGCCCTGATTTCCTTAGCCCAGAATTTCAGGGTCATCCAGTGGCTCTGAGAGGGGGGCTCCTGTTCACTGCATACTGCCTGTCCTGAATGGGCCAGTTTAGGTTTTCGCTGATTCTTTTTGGCCTTTCTCCCACATGGATCAATCTGGTGAATTTTTTTTTTTTTTTTTTTTTTTTTTTTTTTGAGACGGAGTCTCACACTGTCGCCCAGGCTGGGGTGTAGTGGTGCCATCTCGGCTCACCGCAAGCTCCGCCTCCTGAGTTCACGCCATTCTCCTGCCTCAGCCTCCCGAGTAGCTGGGACTACAGGCGCCGCCACCGCGCCCGGCTAGTTTTTTGTATTTTTAGTAGAGACGGAGTTTCACTGTGTTAGCCAGGATGGTTTCGATCTCCTGACCTCGTGATCTGCCCGCCTTGGCCTCCCAAAGTGCTGGGATTACAGGTGTGAGCCGCTGCGCCCGGCCAATCTGGTGATATTTGACTGCATTGTGAGACTGGTACTGCAGGGAACAGAAGAGTGCCAGACAAATGGAGAGAAGCCTCAGACTAGCAGCAGCTGCACGGGAGATTTTACAAGCTCCGTAACACCTGCATGTTTGGGTTTGAAAAGGCGGAAGTGCACTGTTGCTTGTTTCTGCCTTGTATGTTTCTGGCGTGGACATCATGCAGGGCGCCCCATCTCTTTCCCTGCCAGTTACACTCTTTCTTCTGCTCTCCCATCAGCCTCCTTGTGCCTCCCCTCTTGACTCATTTCCAGCCTCTCTTAAAAATTCCTTTCCTGGCAGCCTTTCTTCATTGTCTGTATTTATTCCTACTTCTTTCCTCCCTGGCTGGTGCCTGTGTGCCCAGATGGCCTCCAAGGCAGTGAGAGGAACTATGGCCACGGCCCATCTTTGCTGCTGTGAGCCCGTGCAGCCAGGAACGTGGTGGGACCAGGAGGGATAAAGTATCAGAAGAGGTCCTGCCACTGCGTGAGGGACAGGACGGGCAAGATTGTGCAAAGGAGAGGAGGCGGCTGCAGGAGAGCCCAGAGCAGGAGAAGGGAGAAGTCGTGGGGGCCTCTGAGGGGAAGACAGCAGCTGGACTCAGCAGTTAGCTTCTGATCCCAGAGAGGTCTTGGAGTGGCCTCTGGCTCCGCCTCAACTTCCCTCTCCAGAAGTGTTTTGTTTGGCAGTGAAAAAAGTAGCTTTAATTACAGCTGTGTGTGCCAGGAGGTGCCCACTCCAGCCTCATTGTGTAACCGGTGGTGAGGAAGCATGCTATGAAGCATGCTCGGGTGAACTTTGCTCTATATTTCACTGGATTATAACACCGAACTCTTATTAACACGCTCTTGGCGTCCTGGCTGCCCGCCCGTGTAGCTCAGTCAGGCTGCAGCTCTGCGTCCTCCCAGCCTGCAGGCCGCTAGCTCAACCACCAACTCCACTAGGGCAAGGATTTGTCCGGGGCCCCTTTGTGTGACCCCCAGTGGGCCTGGTAATTTCGTAGAATGAAGGAAACATGAAGTGCTGAAGCTCATTTGGGACTTTAGAAAAATTCTGATGGATAAAGCTGATAGCTGCTGCCGGTCTGAGGCTTCGCTCATTTGTCTGGCACTCTTCTGTTCCCTACAGTACCTGTCTCACAATGCAGTCAAATGTCACCAGATTCATCCATATGGGAGAAAGGCCAAAAAGCATCCGTGAAAACCTAAACTGGCCCATTCAGGACAGGCGGTTCCACGTGTTTTCTACCATGGTGGTTTTCTTTCCTATGGGTAGATGGACTTCAGGAGACGAGAGTGCGTGCGTTTCAGCAGCATGTGGTCTCTTGGCACCATGCAGACCTGATTTCAGATCCTGATACTGCCGCCTGTTTTTTTTTTTAGAAGAGTTTTTTTTAGAAGAGTAGAAGAGTTTTCTTGAATTACAGTTTTTAATATATTTTTTAATATTTTTAATATTAATTTAATATTTAGTATTTTAATAATATTTAATTTGGAAATATCCAAATTGTGTTGCTTTGTTTTTTGTCTCTGGGACTTGAATGTATGTTAGGCCTTCACTATCATTTCCTCTTGCATTCTTTTTATCTTTTCCACCAATTATCTTATTTAAAAAAGTTTCCTCTTTTTCACCCTCAGTTTCCTGCAAAGCATAATGTCTTGTGTTTATTCATTGTGTTCCTTTTAGTTTGTCTTCTTTTCTGAAATATTTCCTTTATGTAATTTTTCCTAAGTTCTGTGACCTGTGATTTGGATTATGCTCTTTTTTCCTGATATTCTTTATTACTCCTATTTTGTGGTTAGATTTTTTTTGGCAAAATTATTTTATTGGCTTATACATGTTACTCTGCTCCTCACTCTTTTTTTCTTAGGATAATTGTGTGTGGGATTCAACCATACTTCTTTTTAGTTACCTACTGTGACTTGACATTGGATTCCTGGGCTTTGCGGGCTTGGAGGGCGGAGCTGGGGGCTCCAGACAGCATTTGTAGTTTCATGGTTCTACAGCTCCCTCTTCATTGTTTTTGTGAGGTATTAAAATATTGGCCTTGTTCGGTGAGGCACGGTGGATCACGCCTGTAATCCCAGCACTTTGGGAGGCTGAGGTGGGTGGATCACAAGGTCAAGAGATCGAAACCATCCTGGCCAACATGGTGAAACCCCGTCTCTACTAAAAATACAGAAAATTAGCTGAGTATGGTGGTGTGCACCTGAAGTCCCAGGTATTCGGGAGGCTGAGGCAGGAGGAGCTCTTGAACCCTGGAGGCAGAGGTTGTAGTGAGCCGAGATCGCACCACTGTACTCCAGCCTGGTGACAGAGCGGTATCTGTCTAAAACAAACAAACAAACAAAAAATTGGCCTCATCTTTAGATTTTTGGCTCTTTTTTCCTCCTTTGTGGTTATCCTGTGAGGGGCTGCTGGGGTGGCCTGTGAGGTCCTCCCGTCCTCCGGTGCTTCCCTCTTCTTCCCGCACAGGTTCCGGTGCCCCGCGTGCCTGTAGGTGCTTCAGGCTTGCCCCATCCGCTTGTGTTGGGAGTGTGGACAGACCTCACGGGTATGTTTGTTTTTGGTAGACAACGTCTGTAGTTGGGTTTTTTATTCTCCGAGTTGCTCTGTTTGTATCAGAGGGAATTTGGAGAGGTTTAAAAACCATGGCCCATTATATAGGCTTCCAATTCTATCTTCAGGATTTGAAACAGTACATTTTCCATTAAAATTACTTGGTTAAAAAATAATTTATTGAGATCAAAAACAACCTCAAATTAGCCATTGTAAGGCGAACAAGTCAGTGGCATTCAGCGCCTTCACAGTGCTGTGCAAGCACCGTCCACTGCGCTCCCGAACGTCTCCCTCATCCACAGTGAACACTGCAGGCAGGAAGCAGCTGCTTCCAAGCACTTCTCCCGAGCCCCTGGCTGGATTGTTCTGTCTAGCACATGTATTTTTAAATTAAATGGAGTTAAATTTTATTTTCATAGGAGTAGCTCTTAACGTTCTGTACATCTGGAAGAATCAGGATGTATCTATAGATACATGCACTGGTAGGCCGGGCGTGGTGGCTTACACCTGTAATCCCAGCACTTTGGGAAGCTGAGGCAGGAGGTTCACTTGAGACCAGAAGTTTGAGACCAGCCTGGGCCACGTAGCAAGACCCCTATCTGTACAAAAAATTTAAAAATTAGCTGGTTGTGGTGGTGCATGCCTGTAGTTCCAGCTACTCAGAGGGCTGACGTGGGAGTTCAAGGTAACAGAGGCTATGATTGCGCCACTGCACTCTAGCCTGGGAAACAGAGCAAGACCCTGTCTCCAAAAAAACCTCCAAAACAACACAGTGATGAAAGTGTAGTCACAGAAGTTATATATCCAACAAAACCAGCTTGTGCCCACAGGCATGTTTTATAGGCTTTAAAGCACAGCTGCCTCTTACTCCGTGAGTACATATTTCTTTTTTTTTTTTTTTTGAGACAGGGTTTCGCTCCCTCACCCAGGCTGGAGTGCAGTGGCTGATCTCGGCTCACTGCACCCTCTGCTTCCTGGGCTCAAGTGATTCTCCAAACCCAACCTCCCGAGTAGCTGGAAGTACAGGCATACACAGTCATGCCTGGCTAACTTTTGTATGTTTGGTAGAGATGGGGCTTCGCCACGTTGCCCAGGCTGGTCTTGAAGTCCTGACCTCAAAGCGATCGGCACACCTCAGCCTTGCAAAGTGCTGGGATTACAGGCATGAGCCACCATGCCCAGCTCATGAGTACGTATTTCAGTGTACACAAATGACTTCTCTCATCATTTGAGTTGTCAAGTTTCTCCTAAGACAGCATACTCTTAGCACTGCTCAGCCAGGGCAAGGGTTTCCAAACTGCTGGAAGTCACAGGCTATACTCATTTTCATCCTAAAATCTGTTTATTGAAAGAATATACAGAGATGCCCTATTTCAAAATCTTTGAGATATTTTTATTGTAGTAAAATGTATGTAAATATGGTTTTCCATTCTAATTACTCTT